GCATCACAATCAAATGTCAATTTCGTTTGTCTAAGTAAACTACAGAATCACACAAAAGAGTTGGTTTGTTTACCTTAAGCATTGCTGTGTCCACTGTGAACTTTATCGCATCCGCTGCAGCACGTGATCGCAGGTAGTACATTCCCGTTTTCAAACCCTTTTGGTACGACACAACAATAACAATTGTGAGATACAAGCGATGCAATCACATTGACCATTTTGAGAGTTTTAAGATAAGTTGTTACCTTTTTCCAAGCGTAGAAGTGTAAGGAAGTGAGTTTTGCAAAGTTCGGTTTCTCCATGTGTATATTCAAACTCTGGCTTTGATCTATAAAGCATCCACGATCCACGGCCATGTCAACCACTGTTCTCTGCTTAATCTCCCAGACAGTCCTGAGTCATTTTGCAGGAGGGTACACAGGTTAGATAATATGAACACAGAGTAATCAGATCATAGAAGAACGAAGGAAGTTTTATTTATACCTGTAGATCGCCTTCAAGTCATCGGGTATCTCTGGGACATTTACGATAGAACCATTCTCATATATTATCTTGTTTTTCAGCGTAGGAGACCAGAGTCCCATATCAGTCAAGTCGTGAAGAAGATGCTTGTTCACTACTACAAATTCACCACTGAAAATACAAGAGAGACCAATGATTAAGCCTATGAAGAAAACCAGAGTCTCCACTTTGTGGAGCAATTTTATTCGCTTGAAGAACATACCTCAAGACTCTACGACTATAAATGTTTGAGGTATACGGTTCAAAACATTCATTATTCCCAAGAATCTGGCTGGTTGAAGCAGTTGGCATTGGTGCCACTAGAAGAGAGTTTCTGATTCCATTCTTTGAAATCATGTTCCTGAGAGCAGCCCAGTCCCAGCGGTCCGAAGGAATTACATTCCACATATCAGGTTGAAGAATTCCCTAAATAGAAATATCCAATACACCAACCAAGCAATTAGCAACAAGAGTCGATGACAATGTTGTACAAATATCGAAAGATTTCCTGGTTGTGATGCATACCTTACTCACGGGACTTCCATGGTATGTCTCATATGTACCTTCCCTAGTAGCAATCTCTGAAGATGACTTGAGTGCGTGGTAGTATATGGTTTCAAATATGTCTTTGTTCAATTGTTGAGCCTGAGATTATTGCAAAAAATTGTTTAGAGCAGAAAGCAAAATTACTTTGAAAGGTTGATTTATACAAAGCAAGTTTACCTCAGGTGAATCAAACGGCATTCCAAGAAGAATAAATGCATCCGCAAGACCTTGTACACCAATACCGATAGGCCTATGACGCATGTTTGAAGTTTTGGCAGTCTCCACTGGATAGTGATTCACATCTATTATCTTATTGAGATTAAAAGTAACAGTTGCAGTCACCTGATAAAACAGAACAATAAAGATAAAAGAAATCAACATCAAATTCCAGAGATATGGAAAAGTTATCAAAATGAACCACGTAGTTAACAATTGACCTCTGCTAACTTGTCGAAATCAAAGTAACGATTCTTTGCGCCCAAACTGCCCACAATCTTATATGGATGTGAATCCAAGGGGACATCCTGTTGTGTGAGATGTAAGAAAATGTCAAGAGTTATGCACTAATTAACTGAAAAATAAAAATCTAATTCTTAGACACTTTTTTCTACTCACCTTCTCCCTAACAAATCGAGGTAAAGCAATAGATGCAAGATTACACACAGCAGTTTCTGTTGGACTAGTGTATTCGATGATTTCAGTGCATAAATTGGAAGACTTTATGGTACCAAGATTTTGCTGATTGCTTTTCCTATTACATGAATCCTACATAAGAGTTTCAAATAGACAGAGTGAGAACCAGAGGTTATAAAATTTAACCAAGTGGCTACAGAATTACGACTGTTTCTTACCTTGTAAAGCATGTATGGTGTTCCTGTTTCAACTTGGGAAGTCAAGATTTCGTACCATAGCTGTTGTGCCTGGACTACCTTCTTAGCCTTACCCTAAAGATAAAAACAAACAGAATTGGTTCACATTCATAAAAATAGGATCATAAAAAATTCAAAGATGAGATCATTCACCTCATTTTCGTATATAGTGTACAATCTCTCAAATTCTTCACCCCAACAATCTGCCAAACCTGGAGCTTCATTAGGACAAAACAGTGACCACTGTCCATCACTCTGGACCCTCTCCATGAAAAGATCTGGTATCCAAAGACCATAAAACAAGTCTCTAGCCCTGTTTTCCTCCTGAAATTGAAAAAAGAGTGTATTATATATTATGTTATAGGGAAAAAATGAGTGATGTATTCTTGGTGCAGCTATACCTTCCCATGATTCTTACGAAGTTCCAGAAACTCGAAAATGTCGGCATGCCATGGCTCAAGGTATACAGCAAAGGCTCCTTCACCAATTGCAAAAAATAATTACATATGAAAAACTAAACACCAAATACTTAACAAACAATCATGATCAAGTGTAGCAAGTTACATCCTGAAATGATACCTTTCCTCTTGCCTCCTCCTTGATCAACATAACGAGCAGTATCATTGAATACCCGCAGCATTGGAACAATACCATTAGATTCTCCATTTGTGCCATGAATATAACTTCCAGTTGCACGGATGTTGTGAATCGAAAAACCAATA